GAAGACTTTTCCTGGTATTTAGAGAAGAGTGATGCTCTTGTAGTTATCACAGTTGCTGAGATCGCATTTCTTCGGTATTTTGATCAGAAGTCCTTTCCAGTCTGTTGGTACTTGTTCCTCATCCCAAATCTTATTGAAGAGAATATGGAGTATCCTTTCAGTTACCGCTACGTCTGCCTTTAGTGTCTCTGCTGAAATGTTGTTTGGTCCTGTTGCTTTGCCACTCTTGAGTTTTTCTGATGGCCATGCTGATTTCTTCAATTGTTGGTGGGCCAACATTAATTGGGAGTTCCGTGAGTGCTGCTTCGATGTTGAGTGCGTTCAATGGGGCTGGTCGATTCAATAGTTCTTTGAAGTGTTCTACCCACCTGTTTCGTTGCCCTTCAAAGTTGGTGATTACCTCGCCTTCCTTGCTTTTCACTGGTCGTTCTGGTTTACGGTAATTTCCAGATAGTTTCTTTGTTGTGCCGTACAGTTCTCTCATGTTTCCTTCTCTTGCAGCCTTTCTCGCCATCGTTGCTAAATCTTCCACATATTTACGTTTGTCAGTTCTGATGCTCCTCTTCACTTGCTTGTTTACTTCTGTGTATTCAGCTTGTGCCTTGGCTTTCTCTGCTCTTGTTTGGCTGGTATTGATTGCTGCTTTCTTGTTCCTCCTTTCTTGAATCTTATCCAGTGTATCAACAGTGATCCATTCCTTGTGATGGTGCTTCTTGTGACCCAGGACCTCATGACATGTTGAAGTGATTGCCTCTTTGATCCCTTTCCAGTTGCTCTTCATAGTAGTTCCTTCATTAAGTAGATCATGAAAGGCCTGGAACTTATTGCTGAGGACCATCTTGAATTCGTTGAGTTTTTTAGTATCCTGGAGGAAGGCCGCATTGAACATTTGTGATATTGTCCGCTCCAGTGTCCAGTGCTTCTTGAGTTTCAATTTCATCTTGGAGACCAGCAAGTGATGATCTGATGCTATGTCAGCTCCTCTCTTGGTTCTCACATCTTCCATCGTCCTCCTGAACTTTTCATTGATGCAGATACGGTCGATTTGTTTTGGTGTAGTGTGATCCGGTGAAGTCCATGTGATTTTGTGAATATAGTGCCGCCTATGACCAGTTTATTGAAGGCACATAAGTTTGCAAATCTCTCACCATTTTCGTTCCTTTCTCCCAGTCCGTGTCGTCCCATGATGTCTTCATATTCAGTGTTTTCCGTTGCAACCTTGGCATTGAAATCTCCCATCAGAATGGTCAGGTCCTTTGTTGGGCACTTCTCGATGATTGACTGCAGCCTATTGTAGAATTGATCTGTAGCGTCTTCATTGTAATCGTTGGTAGGCGCATAGCATTGGATGTCGTTCATTGAAATGTCCTCTTTCTTTGTTTTGAAGGAGGCTTCGATGATCCTTGGTCCATGAGATTCCCATTCTATAAGTGCATTTTGTGCTTGTTTGGACAGCATCAATGCAACTCCTTGTGTATATGGGGCATTTACTTCTTGATGGTCGGAGTGTAACAGAAGCTCTCCTGAAGTTAATCGTTGTTGTCCAACTTGCGTCCAATGTGTTTCACTGATCCCAAGCACCTCTAGGTTGTATCTCCTCATTTCTGCAGCAATTTGGAAGGCTCTCTTGGTGTCCCACATTGTACGAACATTCCATGTACCTAAATAAATGGTTGCTCTGTTTGTCAGAAGGGGCATCGGCCTCGTAACTTCCGAAGGAACTCGGCTTTCATCATGAGGCATCATAACTCTTCTAAATGAAGATCTTCTGACTACTAGGGCAGAGTTTAAAAGGTATTAATAATTTTTTCTGGTTAACGTTTTTTTAGCGAGTTAGTTTTCTACGGGATTGGGACGCTAACCCCATGCCCAACCCTTCTCCTTTATCCGGGCTTGAGACTGACAGTAGCCACCGGAGAGACTCCAGGCAGAGTTTGGAACTTGGGAGAACACAAAGAGTGAATGTACCTGCGCCATTGCGAACTATTTTGAGCCAATTCATTCAGGTTTTCTAACCATTGGTTGCTATCATCTCGCGGATTGCAACCAAGTAGTGTACACCTACCAACATGACTCAGTCCACTTGTCAGTGACTTCATGAACCTGTGGCATGTTATTATCTGGCCGACAATAGCTTCCTTCCAACCTACTCCTACACCATAAAACATCGCACGTCGGGGCAGTCGGTGGTTGGGCATACGTAACACGTGTTCCAGCCATCTCAACTGATGAAGTTTCACCATTTCATCAATCGATTTTCCATCCTTACCTAGTACCCGTTTCCTAACAACTGCGTTACTTACTCGATGGTCCCAGAATATACGAGCAATGCTTGGAAGACGCCTATGATCAAATACTAGTAACCTACGAATATCCTCAACTCTTACTGGCCATGTTTCACTGCCATAAAGTAGGACGGAACGAACTGCTGAGCAGTAAACACGTCCTTTGGTTGATAGACGGATATATCGCTTTCGTCATAAGTGACGCAAGTTTGCAAAAGCTAATCGAGGATCTTGTATCCGTGCTGAGATTTCGTCACACACCAGACCACAAGGGCTGATGAGACTTCCAAGATAAGTGAAGTGATCGACACACTCAATTACTTCACTCCCTATCATTAGTTCGGGTGTCAATGTAACCCAATCCTGAAGCAACATTTTGCATTTCGAGGGAGAGAATCGCATCCCGAACATGCTTGCATTGTTGCTAAGAGTGGTCAGAAGACTCTGCATTTTGTCAGCGTCTTCACCAAATAAAACTATGTCATCAGCATATTCTAAGTCAACAAGTAAACCTCCCGGTAGAAGTTCAGGCCCTGGAAATCTAGACGAGGAAAGTGTTATCTCTAAAAGTACGTCGACGACAAAGTTGAACAAGAATGGGGAGAGTGGACAGCCCTGACGAACACCACTTGATGTAATCAATTCTGATGACAGTTCGCCATAAGCTCTCACTCTACCATTTGTGTTCGAGTAGAGAGCCTGAATAAGGTTAATGTACTTCTTTGGTACTCCTTTCAGTGACAAACACTGCCATAGAACCCCACGATCAACAGAGTCGAATGCCGCCTTAAGGTCGAGAAATACTACCATTGTGGGGCGTCTAAACGTGTGTCTGTGTTCTAGAACCTGACGTAGTGTGAATATCTGATCTATACAACCACGTTCAGGTCGAAAACCAGCCTGATTTTCTCTAGTCTGCTCTTCACGAGCTTTGGTTATGCGTCGAAGTATTATTGAAGCTAACATTTTAGACACTATATTAGTCAAACTGATTCCTCTGTGATTGTCACAAGAGGACTTTTGTCCTTTATTATAGACTGGCACAATCAGTGATTGAGACCAGTCAGATGGGATTACATCCAGTTCCCAAATTCTACCTAAGACCTCAGTTAATCTCACTGCTAATACTGAACCACCGTCCTTAAAAATCTCAGAAGTAAACCTGTCAGGGCCTGCTGCTCTCCCTCGCTTCAGATTTCCTGTAGCTTTTTCAACTTCATAAAAAGCCGGAGGACCTAAATTAACTTGCCATTCAGGTTGGTTGGAGATCGTGGGAAACCGAAGTTTGACTGAAGGCCAGTTGAACTGATCCCTGAAGTGTTCTGCTCATCGATCCGATCTCCTGGATTGAGAATCAATAATATGTCCATCTTTCTCTGAGATTGTTTCTCTAACAGTCGAGTTCCTGATACAGGTTTCCTTAACGAGTCTGAACAATTGTGTGCTATTACCTATTGCCGCTGTCTTTTCCATCTCTCTTGTTTTCGCTACCCACCACTGTTCACGTTCATTGTGTAGGCTTCTTGTCAGCTTGCGCTTAGGCTGACTCCGCTCTTCCTTATGTTCAGATCCAGATGGAATGTGTTTTCGAGCATCTATCAGTGCGGTAGATGCTACCGAGATCCAGTGTTGCTCTCTAACCTTCTGGTTTACCGTACTAGCAGATATCACTGCTGTTTCCGCAGCTTTTCGGATATCATTCCATGCTGCTTTGGGGTGGGCATCACATACATGGCTGCCTAACTGTTTTCCTAGTTGTTATTGAAATATATTTTTAGTTCGGCTATCATTAGATAGAACCATAAGAGGTTTCCTTGCAACGCCTTTCCTACGTCCAGTAAGACGCAGACAAATACGCGCTCACACTAAAGCATGATCTGAATCTAAGCATGTGCTCCAAAATGAGCGACAGTCTTCTATCGAGCCCCCTCATCGGTGGCTGATATCTATGTGTTCTATTTGGGTCCAACGTTGGGACGAATAGGGGAGTCGCCATGTTAAAAGATGTTTTTCCTTATGCGTAAAGTTATTATTTGCAAGAAAGAGGAGGTTATCTGAGCATAGCTGCAACAGACGGTCGCCATTATCTGTTATTTGAGCCACGACACCATAAGATCCACCTAAGAGTCTTTACCTTTCGCTTAGTTTACCTACTTGAGCATTAAAGACACCAACCACTATTACTACATTAGAGCGCCTAGCTTTTCGGAGAAGGTCGGAAAGCTTTCTGTAAGATTCATCTTTTACATCATCTGAGCTGCAGTCAATGGGAGAATAAGCAGAGACGACGAAGAGGCAACGACGAGTGTCACTATCTTTCTGAGTCCTTATTGTTCCGTTTAGTCGAACAGCGCACAAACGACTGTCTACTGGGATCCACTCGAGGAGAGTTAGTTCTGCTTTAGGACTCAGTGCTATGCATACGCCGGCGAGTCCACGAGAAGCAGCATCTGGGCTTCCAGATACACGAAGTGTGAATCGAGTTGATTCTTTGTTTTGGCATGGTGGGGTCAGATGAATGACGCTACTCGGATCCTGTATGCACGTTTTGGAGACGCAGCACACATCGATGGTGCGAGATTCTGAAGTTCTAGCCAAAGAAGCTTGTTGTTCTATTTCGCACAGTGTTCGGACGTTATAAGCTCCAACATGAAGTTTAGAGCGTGGTTTCAGGAGACCAGGAATAGCGTTACGCGTACTCGTACTCGTACAAGCCTACATATTAATTCTGTTTGCATATGAGTTGTATTGCCGCTGATATGAAGAAAAATTGTTTCCGAATGGTGAATGAGATGCCATATTATAACCTTGCATGGAATTATACATACCAGGGTTGAAATCACGTGAACCATGGCCATTCATTACTGAGTTGTATTGCCAAGCTAAAACACAAAGGAGATGAATTTACAGTACAAACAAAATACCCCAAGGGTTGTGCGAATTTCCGAAGTGCGAATTAGGATACATAGGACTATTTCGATTTTGTTGAGGGTGTAATTTGGGGACTGCAGAGCCGATTGACACACAAACACCTTCTATAACTTGATCTTTTCCCAGCAGTTCCGCTGCAACTTCAGGATCTTCGAATGATACGAAGGCAAATGAACGAAAAGGCTTGGGAATAAATACATCGAGTACCTATCAGCAAATAAACAATGAAAATGCAACTTACTGCACCAAATTGTGAAAAGTAATCTCTTAGCACAGAGGCTGTAATGGACTCAGTAATTCCACCCACATGTACCTTTCGGCTTACCTCTTGACGATCTCCTTCCAACTACGGATTTTGTAAGAACATCATCCTTACCTTGGAGATGGGTATTCTGACGTCACACAAGCGTCCATCTATGCTATGTCGTTCAGACAGACACATAATTTGCGATTCCATATCATTATACCGAATGAATCCGTACCCTTTGCTCAAATTGGAATCGGGATGTCTTTTAACCTGGGCAACATGATAAATACGACAACAAATACCTGAACTGTTACGAGGTCACCGTAACGTGAGAAATATTCCTTTAGTGTAGATTCATCAGTTTTCCACGCCAAGTTTAAAACAATTAGATCTGTACACTTCTTCTCCTCCAGCTTTTTAAACTTCGAACTGTAAGTATCTTTCTCTTCTATACCTTTTCGCTTATTTTCTATATATCATTACGAATACCACACAAAGATAAAGGTACCTCTAGGTAATGCGCACTGATAAACATGAACCCATCCATCTGATGGAGCATAAAGTTTTCCATCATTAAGCCTTACACCCCTCAGGCAACCTGAATCAGGAGCTAAATACTTGAGACCAGTTGACTTTGGAAACACGGACTTTAGTGTGGCAAGAAGTACTGTGCCATCATCTTCAATCGGTACCTCAATGGGACTCTCATTATCATCTTCGCAAACTCTAATAAATTTTACTCCTGCCATTATGATGCTATAGCATTCAGTTGCTGACAGGTTTCCGTCTGGATTGGAGGTAAGTTAAATGTGAGAATCTGAAGGGAATAATATAAGAAAAAACAATGCAAGACTGTGATTTATGGACGAACCAATCAGGCTTAAAACAACAGGTTTCGGATTTTGGCGTGAAATTCATTCATCCATTCGGCTAAATAGCGTTTTGGCATTTTAGACTATGTCAGTTCGTGATGAAAACCCTAAATGTGATTCATAACCCTAACCATCGACTGTAAATCAGAATCCTTATTCTTCACACAAGTTAATAACAGTCATTTATACCTGCTGGTAAGGTGGACAATCTCAGGGTCACTTTGGCAACGTTCAAAAGACGTTTACAAATTATGGTCTCACTGAGAAGACTAGGTACAGCATAGAGAGGGAGTCTGTGGTTATATTCCGGCCTCACAAGGATGTTTGGGTGATAGTGAGTTACAACTTTAAGACCGAAGCCCACTTCTGCGAGGTTGCAGCTACGAGGTTTACAACCCTATAGGCTTTAAGGCTGAAATTTACCAAGTTAAATACTGATATGTTCACTACAATATGCACAACTTTAGCGAAATCCAAACTTGAAAACTGCACTCAGGCTGCAAATCTCTGTTTAAAGGGTGACTCAGATATCTTGGAAAAGGTAAAGGGGGCGGTTGCCCGTGCAACTCCAGGGTTTACCATACAAAGGGCGGCTTGGGAAGCTAGACCACTTAACTCTGTCCTATCGCACATTAACAGGTGATCTGACTTTGATAAAGGATACTAAGAAATGATTTTGGACCCGATATATCTTCTCTTTTTCTTTTTACCAGATCAGGATAACTCAGAGGACATATCAGACAAGTAGAAAAACCAATTATCAATCCTTGGGATGTGTTACTCGAAGTGGTGTCCACCCGTTTAATCGACTCATTCAAGAGATTATACACTCAGAAGCTTGCCAGAAAAAGACTAACACACTCCGTAGGCTTTTTTTTCCCTTACTATATAGTAAGGATTTTTAGATTGATTTGTGTATACACAAATCTGAAACGTGAGCAGATAACTCGTTAGGCACATAAATTACATTTAAAACTACCAACAATTACCAACACTCAAACTTTGACTGAAGGTATTCAGGCAAATGAAACTAGAAACTAAAGTTGATGATGTTGCAGTTGTCTTACGACGCAAAAGAACCCACAGAAACCGCGCTCTACATCCAAGGTTCAATGCGCGTTGTAACTGCCGACTTCGACTAGTAGACCTTATTTAATGTTAATACGCCTTTCATGTTGCAGCGCTCTATGATGTATTGTTTTCACTCTGATTTACCTGGTGATAATTGCTCTGTAAAATACCAACTGTAGTGACTCATTTTTATCACGAGAACCGTATTGGTTTAATGGAAACAATTATTATTATAACTAATTGTACCACTGACTGTTTTAATGTGCTCTTTGCTTAACTGTGCTGAAAACATCCATTTTACTTACTTCGATTGTGACCTCGCACGAATCCGGTTACGCTCAGTAATCAAGCTTATACCGTGGCACGACCTCGGTATTCTTTCGATACCACGAGATCGCCAGCAAATATATTTCAACTCGGTCCATTAAGTGCCTTCTGATACTTGGCTTTCGGAGTATTTTATGGATATCTTGGTACGCGTTCCTTTGTAGTGGTGTTCATAGACTACCACGACTCGACACCACGCAACACAACAAAGCAGTGTTTTTCAGTCTTACGGCGTAAAATTAAAAGCATGAGGTTGTGGAGGTGATTGAGTGTTTATAGCAGCCATGAACTGACCAATATTATATCACTATTTAAAACCTACTAGCACTGTACTCGTTTCGTACCAGTACGGGATTCCTCAGCAGAGTACATCCGCGATCCCGCACGAGGAGATGTTCATCTAGGTACTTGAATAACACCTTTCTAATAATCTTTGCTAAACGTTTGACACCAAACTTCGTTATCGGCAACAGAAGGTAACTTTTTTATCACGTTTTGTACCTGCTTTGGTTACGCGAGATATTAAAACATGCTTGGTGGTAAAATTCCCAGAACCAACGATTTTACAAGAATTTTACATCATTATTGACCATACCAGTTTGACTGTAGACAAAAGTGATGAGAGTACTTGGTGAACCAACCTCATCGGATCACGCCCGGGCAAGGCTAGATTATCTCCTCTTACAACAGATAGTCAGATTGGATTACTTACACCATTTTTAAATACACAATAGCAACTCTTCATTCTTAACTTATGGCTTTACCAGCTTTGAGATCCCAGTAATAAGAGAAGTTTAGAACAGCAGAGCTGTCGAGCAGTGAATCTCAGTAACATCTTCAGTGGTTTACCAAACAATACACTTTTAGTTTTAACCTTGCCAATGCTCTCTGCAAATATTTTTGAATGATTTGATATGTTTTTTGTGTCTTTGAATCTGTTCGTATATCTAGGGACTTTATGTTCACTGTGTCGAAGTAGGCAACTGATATTTTATTGATTAAGACTCCCTCGCCTCCTCCTTCGCACTCAATTAATCCTGAACCGATGGCATGGAGTTGTGATACGTATTGGCAAAAGGAATGTTGCTACGTGCGCGACAGGCTGTTAGCTAACGAATCTGAGGCGAAGCTCTTCTGATACAAACTTTTAATCCAAGCTTACTCAACAGGTGAAGGCTTCCGTTGTTTAATTCCAAAACAACGCTGTAGATGAACTGATCGCATCGGCTGAACGGGTTCCGGAAATCGCCATAACCTCAGAGACGTGTTTTGTTCTGCCAAAGAAAGGCCTCAATCGATGCAAAACGAAATTTTTAATCTCTGTAATTCTAAAACTTATTTTTTGAACATCCATTACGACAGCAAAAGATACTGAAGTCCTCCATCGCCGGTACGCGTTAATGTTGGCCGTAGCCGGTGGATATAGCCGTGTGCTGTATATCACTGACAAGATGATGAAAGTTCGCCATTTCGTCGACACTGGCACAGTAGTTAGCGCCCTTCCTGTCAATAATAGCTATCATCTGGATGATCCGGCCATCACTTTTAGGAGCCAAATGGTAAAACGTCACATTAGGTGAACGACACGTTTGCCTAAATATGGATTTATGTTAAGCCATTCACTAGAAATTTTTTCAGATGTGTGAGTGCCAATCACTGATAGAGAGCTGCAATGATACCATGAACTACCCGTCGGTCCAAGCGAACGGAGGTTAGCTGATGAAACTTCTAAATTATATGTTTGGTGAACTTCATTACTTGGTTTAGGGTTTTACTGGTATTGGTTCCTAATCACACGATCTTTGAAGCTGAGCGTATAATTGTTGAGAAGATATGCAATCAACACGTAACATTAAGAGCAGGTCAGCAATGGTGAACGCGGCAACAAAGAATCGCAATGTCATGGCTCGGTCATGGGGGCGTGGTTACTTTTTATAACCACTTGCCAGTTGTATCAAGAGTATTGGTCCCTTCCCATCTGAAATATTTTTTTCGGAAAATCTAGATGTATATCGCTGAGCATCGTGATAGGACGAGCTAATGTAGACGATGATTTGATTTCCACTTAAGATCATATAGATCAGATAGTCACGTCAAGACAAATCTACAATTTATGGGTTAAATCTCTTGTTATAGTAATACGAATACCGAACTAGATCATAATTCTACAAGATAATGTCCAGGCACACATAAACATAAAACTAATCCATACTTACAACTGGTGCTCGATAAGCATCTCAAATCATACGAACGATAACCGACATTACTAGAAAAGCTCAAACTGGAAAAAGGAATTCGGTCAAATAATGGATATGGAAATAAGCTGGTTATCAGTCAGCCTATGTGCTTTCTCGTTGCATATGGCCCGTAAAAATAATACCAGTGTTTCAAGGCAATTCACGGTTGAAGACGATTTAATATAAACAGTCGCTACCACTACCTAACGCCATACATTCAGGACATAACAGCTACTTAAAAGGTATGAATGAGTTTTCAAAAATCGACTTGGTTAAATGGTATAACCAATTACCTGTCGCTTCGAAAGACATCTGTAAAACGGCTAGAATCACTTTCTCAAAACTTTAGGTACTTTTAGGTACCAATTTTGACTTAAAAAGTGCTTCGAAAAATTTAAAATGATTTGATGACGATGTATTTAGCGGTCTTCAATTTATCCACATGTATACACGGAATCCCACCTCTTACATCTTAAACTTGTTTACCAACATCGACAGAAAACGGCACAAACATTCAGATTTGTCAGACTGGAACCAATTTCCTGGATTTCCTTGGACACACCACCGACATCCAAGGTACTCACTCTCTGTACAAAGGAGTGGTAGTCATTCTGGGTTACCCTGAACCATCTGCAGACAGGTAATCACGCAATTTTAGTAACCTGGTAATTTTTAAACAACGGTCCACACTGAACCGGGTGTCTCTCAAGAGACCGTAAACAGACAAATATTTCCGGAGTGAACAGTGTGGCTAAAGACGCCTTGTTTCGTATAGCACCCTTGAACGGATTCCAAGGCATTGACGGTCTTAAAAAGAAAAGACTGATTTGCAGCACGAGTTATCTTCCGCAACACTGGATCTATGAATCAGACAAGTGGGGACAGGTAAGGAAACTTTACTTGATGATATATCTACAGGCAGGGATCAGCTATACGGTCCGAAAAGTTTTCGACGCAATGCCTTCAACACATCGGAAATCTTTCACATCCAGGTATTTGAGCAATCATCAAGCTCGTTGCAGAACGATTTTATTGGCCTGGTGTCAGCAAGGCTGTGAGAAGATAGAAACGTTCTTGGTTAGGCTATCGGAAATTCGAGTTGATTAGACAAAAAAATGTCCCTTAGGCTCATTTTAAAATCTGACACTCGCTTTTACCACATCTGTCTTGACTTGGTAGGACTCTTATCAGGTTGGAAGACAATCTAGCAGTGATGCTTGACCTAAAGCCTACCGCTAGAGT